TATGTGTTCAGATGTGATTGGGTGAAGAAAAATAAAAATTTTCAGTTTTTTCTTCTATTTTGGTTTGCTCTCCCTTTGGTGGGAGACAGTTGCTGTGGTTAAAAAAGAATATGGTTTAGGACATCAGTTACTTATGGGCCATGTGATTGAATGAGGTTGATGTTCAAGTCTCTATCAATTATTAATGGATATTCAATAGTTTATCGCTTATTATTAACCCTTAAACTGTCCAAACGCAGATCTACGTTTATGCGCGTAGCACAATGAACTTTCATTTTAACGTGCTTTCTTATGTAAAAAAACGTAGATCTATGTTGGGAGTGTTGCACGTGAACGTAGATCTACGTTTGGACAATTTAAGGGTTAAAGATAGAAAATTGAAGGTGAACATAGATAAGAGTAGGGTGATGAGGGCATCAAATGTTTTTAGATAAAGAAAAATTGGATTTTCACATTTAGAGGGAGGGAGTATGAAAGAAGTGAATGTTTTCAGATATTGGAAGTTGATTTGTCAGTGGATGGGTTTATGAAGGATGAGATTAACCACAGAGGCAAAAAGAATGTACACTCTTATATGGGTATGAAGCATGGGTTTGTAAATGCTGCAGCGGGAGGCAGCTGGAGGCAGTGGAGATGTCCTGTCTAAGGGCAATGTGTGAAGTAAATATTATGCAGAGAATTCATAGTGGAAATTAAGGTAGGGAAAGAAAGACAAGGTAGGGGTCGTTCTGAAAAAGTTGGAGGGAGGGGGTAAAGGAGGTTTTGTGGGCAAGGGGTTGGGCTTCCAGCAAGTGTGCATCAGTTTTGTTAGATAGGAGTAAAAGGGGAACAAATGTTTTAAGGACCTATCGAGATGTTGGAGTATGAGCAAGGTAATATTTTTTTGAAGGGATTCAAGGAAACCGTTAGCCAGACTTGAATCATGGAAAATGGGAAGTACAATGCCCCGCACTTTAAAGGAGGGGGTTTGGGATATTTTGGGAATTTGGAGGGACATCTAACTGTCGTATCTGAAACCTCTGCAAAGACAATGATTAGTATGGTGATGGTGAAAGTGTTGAATGATGATGCAACTTTTTTTTATTCTTTTTGGGTTTGTCTTTCTTTTTGGGTCACTCTGCTCGGTAGGAAACAGCTGACATGTTAAAAAAAAAAAAAAAAAAAAAAAAAAAAAAAAAAAAAAAAAAAAAAAAAAAAAAAAAAAAAAGTCTTTCAGATTATCACCAAAGATTTGGTATGTTATGTGATAATCTGTAAACAGCTCCCATTGTGACTGGGGGACTAAGTTTTTGGATGTAAATTGTGCAAATGTGTATTCCTAAGTTTGTTTCTGGTGCAGGTTGAAATAATACACAACACATTTCAATTTCAACTTCCCTTTTAATCAGTCCTACAGCAATGAATGGTTGTGTACCCAGATAAGTTATAGTTGCTTATAATATCAGGTTTTACCCAGATTCCTTTTAAAATATTCAAAGTTAAGTTTGCATTTAGTGACACTAGGAACACAAAGTGCCTACTGTACTTCAAGATCTGGCATTGTAGTTAAATAATGAGATGCTGTTGGTGTTACTGAAGATAGTTAAAGCTAGGCTAGCTGTATAATATTTGCTGTCTTGGTATGTAGTGAAGAGATTATTACAGAGATCAGTTCAGGATCAATATTAGCATTCTCGGACTGTAATATGACAATAAGGAATTAACATTAAGGTACTTAGTTATCCAAAGAAGTTTGGCCAGAGAGTCTAGCCTTAATGTACTTACTTCACCTGTGCTCTTCAATGTGGCCATTTTACTAATACTGTAGGGCCCCGCTTTTCGGCGTTTTGCCTTATTGTGTTCCGCTAATACGGTGATCTCAAATTATGATCAAAACTTTCTATACGGCAAGTGGTCTTTCAAATACGGCACGTGCCACCCAGTTTGTTTATATTCTCCATGAGCACATCTCTATTATGTAATAATAATCACTCTTGGGCACAGTAAATGTCTAGTTTTACGTAAATATAAACATTTTCATTAATTCATCTATGATATTTTCTTGAAAATTATATAAGAAACATGTTATATAGCATATAAACATACTGTTTATATGCTTTGGAGGTGTGGTTGCTGAGTGGAGGGAAAACATTACATAATACTAATAATAAATACCCTTAGGCACATTAAATGTCTTATTTTACGTTAATATAGACATTTTCATTAATCCATCTATGATATTTTCTTCAAAATTATATAAGAAACATGTTACATAGCATATAAACATTTTAGGTTTATATACTATGGAGGTGTAGTAGCCAGGTGGAGGGGAAACATTACGTTACTCCCCTTAATACATAACACTTTTGTTTACATTTCTCGGCTTGAATTATTCATTACTTTTTCCTTTGTTTATGACAGAATCTAAAGGTAGTTGTTAGAAACAATTAAACTCAGTGAACATGGTATGTCGATGGTAATAATATGGCTCTGGGCCGCATTAAATATCGTGTAGCTATGTAGGTAGGTGTAGGTATGTAGCCCAGGTGGACTACATACCTACATTATTATTATAACTGATAATTATACATATGAGTAGCTGTACCTAAGTATGCCTTCACTCAATGCATCATTTCTTCTAAAAATAATGTTACTTGAGAATGGGAGTGTTTCTCTTTATTTATTCTACTGTATCAACGTGGAGACAACCCATACACAACGTAAAGTGACGAAAACCAGACGCGTTTGTCTGGTTTGTTTACATTACGTGTGGGTGGGGTGGGGGGGGCCCTGCCCTTCCTGGCTACCCATACTTCCTAACCTGACTTCCTAAAAATAAAAACTCACCTCTCACCCTACATTAAGACTACAATATTTTTAAGGTAATTAATGAATGTGCTGTAAATATATTTTATCACTCTGGGAGCTTTAATTAAATATCGTAGTACATTACGTGTGGGTGGGGGGGGGGGAGGGCTTCCTGGTGGATTCCATACTTCCCAAACCTGACTTCCTACAAATAAAACTCACCTTCACTCAACATTAAGACTACAAACATTTTAAGGTAATTACTGAATGTACTGTACATATATTTTATCGCTCTGGGGAGCTTTAATTAAATGTAGTATATTATGTGTGGGTGGGGTGGGCTGACCTGGCTGGCTACCATACCTCCAAACCTGACTTCCTAAAAATTAAACTCACCTCTCACCCTACATTAAGACTACAAATATTTTAAGGTAAGTAATGGGTGTACTGTGCATGTATTTTACTTTTTAATGTTTTTAATGCCTAGTTATATTGCCAACGTAATATATGTTAGTGTAAACTTGTTACCTGACATTTATATGCATTTATAAGTGGAAAAAATGGCGTTCTGCTTTCCGGCGATGTCTGCTTTCCAGCAGCAGCCTGGAGCCTAACCTGCCGAATAAGTGGGGCCCTACTGTACTATTAAGTTTCCAGCTCTCAATATCAAATATTTATATGTAAAGAAACAAATACAGACATAGGTAAGGAACAATGTACTTATAATGTACATAGTAACACTTTACAAGTTTCATATTACTTTATCTACCTTAAGTACCTGATGCACACCCAGTAATTGTAAGCAGACAACTTTTTAATCAATATTAAAAATAAGCAACTGATTAAAGTTGTTAAGCCCCAATTGCAGAGGATAATTAGGATAAATAATACTGTATGTACCTAACACTAGAGCTAAATTTGTTCAAATTTACCTGGATGCTAATAAGACCAGAAACTTTCAGGGAAAAACTTGTTGTTTTGGACCTTAACAATATCGCCAACTTGAATGTGTCGCCACTTGATCCACTGCCACTGACCATCTTTAAGAACTTCAATTTCACGTTTATTTAATTCATCGTCTGCTCTATGACGTTTCTGAAAAAAAAATGAAAGCAGGTCTGCCAAAAGTATAAAACCTATCCCCACTGAAAAGAAACAAGAGAGAAAGTGCAATGACATCCAGGAATGTGGAAGATTATATCAACAGAAGGAGAGGTTGATACAGTGTGAGGAGTACTCAAGTGGGAGACACAATGCTGCTGTAAGGTACATGGTAATATTCATTCAGGTCAACATCCCTGGGTGTTTGTTGAATGCTGTGGGTTAATTCCCCAAGGGGTTTTTAGTACCCCGGATAGGGGTGGGCTTTGCAATGAATTGATGGTAGGCAGGCAGAGGTTGATAAAGAATTGTAGTAATATTTACTCTTTTTTGTTGCAGTCTCCCCCTGCCACATTTGATGCACGTAAAATCTCCTTCCAAACCTCTGCTTGCCTTCCTCCATCCCTGCCAACTCAGTTCCACATACCTCCATTTCCCTGTCTTGTCTTTGGGCTGAGGCCCATCCAGGACACCAACCATCATACCAATTTTCGTATCAAATTTTTCATCACAAAATCAAAACTAAATTCCTTTATGGACTGTAATTACCTCAACATTTTCATGACTGATGCCCCTTGTAAATTAAGGGGGAAAAAGTATATGAAA